TACCCTTTACGGTCTTAAGCACCGCGAACAGCTCCGGGATCAACTCCATCCCTTGCATGTCATAGTTCATCACGAAGATCTAGTAGCTTAGTGATAGTGGCTAGAGAACTCTATCAATCACTATCTTATCTGGAAGTTTAACTCCCACTTGATTTAAGTGATTGTAGCACCCAGACATTCTTAGCACATGCTCACTAGCTGAGCTATTCTCCTCCATCTTGTTGGCTAAAGAACTTGTCAGAGGTCTCACACCTCTCAACACGGGCATGAGCCTGAAATCCCAATTTCAGCTCCTGGAACATCTCATATGTTCTATGGCGTTTAAAACGTCATTGGAATCCCGATTCTAAGCCGTAAAGTATGGTGCACTAAACTATCAAGTAGTCATCAGGACGTGTCTGTCAGGTGTTCACAACATGCACATACGATGTTGTAGGGATTTGCACATCGAGCGGTGCATCAAAGACGTAAGCCTTCTGTGTAGCAGTGAGGACACTCGGACTACGGACCCAGTCCGCATCATTGCTTACAATATCTTTCAACTTAATCTTTCTCTAGGAACGTATTGAAACAGGGAGCTACAACGTGAGCGATTTATCTACAACATATTTGCAAAGACAATTTAGACTATGTTCATGATAATTGAGTTCATCTAATGAACTCCTACTCAGATAGACATCCCTCTAGTCATCTAAGTGAAACATGATCCGAGTCAACTAGGTCGTGTCCGATCATCAGGTGAGACGGAGTAGTCAACATCGGTGAACATCTTCATGTTGATCGTATCTTCTATATGACTCATGCTCGACCTTTCGGTCTTCCGTGTTCCGAGGCCATGTCTGTACATGCTAGGCTCGTCAAGTCAACCTAAGTGTTTTTGCTGTTTAAATCTGGCTTACACCCATTGTATTCAAACGTTAGAATCTATCACACCCGATCATCACGTGGTGCTTCGAAACAACGAACCTTCGCAACGGTGCACAGTTAGGGGGAACACCTTTCTTGAAATTTTAGTGAGGGATCATCTTATTTAAGCTACCGTCGTTCTAAGCAAATAAGATGTAAAAAATGATAAACATCACATGCAATCAAATAGTGACATGATATGGCCAATATCATTTTGCTCCTCTCGATCTCCATCTTCGGGGCTCCATGATCATCGTTGTCACTGGCATGACACCATGATCTCCATCATCATGATCTCCATCATCGTGTCTTCTTGAAGTTGTCTCGTCATCTATTACTTCTACTACTATGGCTAACGCTTTAGCAATAAAGTAAAGTAATTACATGACGTTTATGTTAACACGCAGGTCATAAATAAATAAAGACAACTCTTATGGCTCCTGCCGGTTGTCATACTCATCGACATGCAAGTCGTGATTCCTATTTCAAGATCATGATTAATCTCATTCATCACATATATCATTCACCACATCCTTTTGGCCATATCACATCACAAGGCATATGCTGCAAAAACAAGTTAGGCGTCCTTTAATTGTAGTTGCAAGTTTTTACGTGGCTGCTATAGGTTTCTAGCAAGAACGTTTCTTACCTACGCCAAAACCACAACGTGATATGCCAATTTCTATTTACCCTTCATAAGGACCCTTTTCATCGAATCCGATCCGACTAAAGTTGGAGAGACAGACACCCGCCAGCCACCTTATGCAACTAGTGCATGTCAGTCGGTGGAACCAGTCTCACGTAAGAGTACGTGTAAGGTCGGTCCGGGATGCTTCATCCCACGATGCCGCCAAATCAAGATAAGACTAGTAACGGCAAGTAAATTGACAATATCGACGCCCACAACTGCTTTGTGTTCTACTCGTGCATAGAAACTACGCATAGACCTAGCTCATGATGCCACTGTTGGGGAACGTAGCAGAAATTCAAAATTTTCTACGCATCACCAAGATCAATCTATGGAGTAATCTAGCAACGAAGGGAAGGAGAGTGCATCTACATACCCTTGTAGATCGCTAAGCGGAAGCATTCAAGTGAACGGGGTTGATGGAGTCGTACTCGTCGTGATCCAAATCACCGATGATCCTAGTGCTGAACGGACGGCACCTCCGTGTTCAACACACGTATAGCCCGGTGACGTATCCTACGCCTTGATCCAGCAAGGGGAGAAGGAGAGGTTGGGGAAGACTCCATCCAGCAGCAGCACGACGGCGTGGTGGTGGTGGAGGAGCGTGGTACTCCAGCAGGGCTTCGCCAAGCACCGCGGGAGAGGAGTAGGGAGAGAGGCAGGGCTGCGCCATGGAGAGGTCAAAACTCCTGTGTTGGCAGCCCCAAAGTCCTCAAGTATATATAGGGGAGAGGGAGGGGGTGCGCCCCCTTTAGGGTTTCCACCCCAAGGGGTGCGGCAGCCCCAAACCCATCTAGGGTGGCGGCCAAGGGGGGGAGAGGGGAAACTTGCCCCCCAAGCTAGGTGGAGGTGCCCCCTCCCCAAACCCTAGGCGCCTTGGGCCCTTGTGGGGGGGCGCACCAGCCCACCTGGGGCTGGTCCCCTCCCACACTTGGCCCATGCAGCCCTCCAGGGCTGGTGGCCCCACTTGGTGGACCACCGGGACCCTCCCGGTGGTCCCGGTACATTACCGATAAAACCTAAAACTTTTTCGGCGACCAAAACAGGACTTCCCATATATAAATCTTTACCTCCGGACAATTCCAGAACTCCTCGTGACATCCGGGATCTTATCCGGGACTCCGAACAACATTCGGTAACCACGTATATCTATTCCCTATAACCCTAGCGTCATCGAACCTTAAGTGTGTAGACCCTACGGGTTCGGGAACCATGCAGACATGACCGAGACAACTCTCCGGCCAATAACCAACAGCGGGATCTGGATACCCATGTTGGCTCCCACATGTTCCACGATGATCTCATCGGATGAACCACGATGTCAAGGATTCAATCAATCATGTATTCAATTCCCTTTGTCTAGCGGTACGATACTTGCCCGAGATTTGATCTTCGGTATCCCGATACCTTGTTAATTCTCGTTACCGGCAAGTCTCTTTACTCGTTCCGTAACACATCATCCCGTGATCAACTCCTTGATCACATTGTGCACATTATGATGATGTCCTACCGAGTGGGCCCAGAGATACCTCTCCGTTTACACGGAGTGACAAATCCTAGTCTCGATTCGTGCCAACCCAACAGACACTTTCGGAGATACCTGTAGTGAACCTTTATAGCCATCCAGTTACGTTGTGACGTTTGGCACACCCAAAGCACTCCTACGGTATCCAGGAGTTGCACAATCTCATGGTCTAAGGAAATGATACTTGACATTAGAAAAGCTTTAGCATACGAACTACACGATCTTTGTGCTAGGCTTAGGATTGGGTCTTGTCCATCACATCATTCTCCTAATGATGTGATCCCATTATCAACGACATCCAATGTCCATGGTCAGGAAACCATAACCATCTATTGATCAATGAGCTAGTCAACTAGAGGCTTACTAGGGACATGGTGTTGTCTATGTATCCACACATGTATCTGAGTTTCCTATCAATACAATTCTAGCATGGATAATAAACGATTATCATGAACAATGAAATATATAATAATAACCAATTTATTATTGCCTCTAGGGCATATTTCCAACAGTTAGGTGTGTAGGCTGACCGGATCCTAGGCTCGGACTATGCAGGTGAGACTGCCGGCGAAAGTCGTACTCCGGTTGTGGCCAGAGTCGTCGATGGTGGCGCTTTCAGGCGTCGCTCCCTCGTTGGAGGCATCGATATAGCTGCTCTCACCTTGCCTTTCCCGACGTGCTCCGGGGGAACCCTTGATCTAGTTTAGATCGAACGATGGCGGCGCTATTTAGCGTCGCGTTCTCTCTTGGGAGCATCATTTTGGAGGTGGATCCGGGCAGAGGGACCCGTGGCTCGTGTGGATGTGTGTGTTGTTTGCCGAAAGGCCTCGGTTGTATGATTTTTGGGTCCGGTTTCCCTTATAAACTGGACCAACTCTTTTTCTCCTGGTCAATGAATTTGGTAGATCTACTACAAACATTCAAAACAATCCTTGTTTGGGAATGCACTCAAGGTATAAAATAGACCGGGATCATATAGTTTAGTGTGCTGATTTTAAGGATTCAAAATTCAGGGTTTGATTTAGCTTTTGTCTACAAGTTTAAGGTTTATTTTAGACTTTTCCCAACTTAGCAGCTGGCTGGAACCGAACGGAGCCTCGTCGTGGAGACGAGGGCCGCCGTCGGCATGCCGGTAGAGAGCCTCAAGCCGCCCCTCACCGGTCCTCCTCGCGCCACCGGCCGGCCAAGGCCCTACCGAGACGGATCTGAAAAGGACGCCAGATCCGCAGCCATCGGAGCCACTCATGCGCACGCAATCGCTACACCGCCGGTCATGAAGGCTCCCAGCGCCGCCGCGCAGCAGGGGCGCCACCCTGACTGCCGCCCCCGGCCTTCCCGTATGAGACGCTGCCTCCGCATCACAGGGTCCGCTGCGGCGACCACCCGCCATGGACCTGCAGTGCAGGGCCCGCCGCCACCGCGGCCCTTGCCGGCGGCAACAGCGGCTGGCGTTGGAGCAGCAGGGAGGGACTGGCGGCTAGGGATCTGGGGCCCTTGACGCCGCCCGAGGGGAGGCGACGCGAGGGGAGGTCGCCTTGTGTACTAGATATCGATAAAACCTTCCAATCAGGTATAGTTTTCTGTTAATTTGATGTGATAGTCGGTAAAAGTAAATGGAATTATTTAGTGTCCATCCATGAACATAGCCTATTCACCATAAAGAATACAGAGCTTATTCACCAATGGGGTTTTGCAGGCCTAAACTTGTCCAACAGAAGTTTGTAGACGCGGGAACATAAATTAATCATGATGATCAGAAGAAACATAGGAGTACACAACAATGTTGACATATCACACCACATTTCACGAAAATACACACGAGCAGGGTTCACCGGAATTCTTTATACCCACTCCCAAAGTCCAAATCCCAGAGTCAATTGCTCATTCAGCGAGGGGATTGATCACATGGCCAAGGAACAGCACAGCGCTGGTTTTCTCCTCAACAATGGCGAATAGGAAGGGCCGGTTCGCCACGAAATCCACCGGAGGCCGTGGCGCCCTTGCACTCTGAAAGATGACCACGGCCGTTGCTGCGGCGGCCACGGTGCCCAGCTCGTCCACCTCGATGGTGGCCTTATGGTACACGCCGGCAATGAAGAGCCCATCCCCGCCGCTCACCATGCCCGAGAAGTCGCCGCCTTCGAAAGCCCTGGTGACACCGAGCTTCTGCATGTCCGACGACGCCTCGAACTCGAACGTGAACTTGAACTTCGGGACCATGAACCGCCCGACGGGAACCTGGACCGCCGGCGTGTGGCTCTTGAGGAACCCCGGCGTCGCGACCGCCTTGTCGTAGAGATCGGCGAGACCGAGAGCGGCGCCGCCGTCCGGGAGGAGGAGTAGCATGTAGAATGCTGCCTCGGCTCGCCGCCCCGCTTGGTCGCCGTCGTTCTTGTAGGGAAGCTTGAGGGCCCTGAAGCCCGGGTAGACGGCGACGTGCTGCTCGAACGGGAACCGGCCCGTCGTCATGAACGACGCGCGCACGATGGTGCCGTCTGGGACGTGGAACGGGGCGGTGAAGGTCGCCGACTGGTCGAACGGCTGAGACCACGTCCCGTTGAAGTAGAGCGCGTTGGCGAGGACGACCCGCGTGGACGAGCCGACCGAGCCGGGCGGGAGGACGTCGCGGATGCGCCCGTCCGTCGCGCCGGCGACGAAGGCGTTCACTCGCCGCCTCGCCTGCTCGGGGTCCGAGGAGAAATCCACGGATTCCGCGGTGGCAGCGTACCCCGACGCGGCTGTGGCCATGAACTCCGGCTCCAGCGCCTGCCCGCGGTCGACCCACACGCCGCACGCGAAGGACGTCTGGGTCAGGCCGTTGAGCCTGCCCGCCAGCTCCGTCGCCGCCGCGCCGTGCAGCTCGTCGAGCGACGCTGAGCCGAGGAACCCCAGGAGCTCCTCGCGCGTCTCGCCCCGCGTGCCGGCGGCCACCAGCGCGAGCGCCGCGTGGATGGACAGCGGCGAGACGATGAAGTTGCCTCCCCCGCCGGCCGCCGCCCGGACGCCGGCCTCCCTGGCGAGAGGCAGGCACGACGCCTTCCCGCCCGCGTGGCCGCCTACCGCCGCAGACACAGAGTGGCCACCCGGAGGCGCCTCGGTGAGCAAGGGGGCGCGTGCTTGCGTCTCTACATGGCTGGAACTGTAAGGGCGGTGGAGGTAGCTCTGGCCGCTGCAAGGGCAACGCTGAGCGCAGTCAAGCCGCGGGCGCCGGGAAGTCATCGTCCTGAATTCCACCTGCGACCGCCATGCGGCAAACAGCGTCAGGCAGAGGACGGCCTTCCACAAGGGCGACATCCAGATCGCCGATCTGCAGGGTGCAGACTAGCCAGTAGTTGACCTTTGAGCCCAGTGTCCGTCCATCGAGGCATCGACCCAGGTAGAGGTAGAAGAAGCATCTGTTTGGTGAATGGCAGGATAGGATCTCTCATCAATTCGATCTCAACTCTCAAGTAAATCAAGTGTGTAAACCAACAAAAACCACACATCAGTAAGCTCGTTTACTTAGAACTTCGAGGTTGCTTGCTAACGTGGCTGAATGAGTTTTTTTTTATTTTGTTTTTTTAGAAAAGGAGGATGCACCCCCGACCTATGCATCTGGACGATGCATACGGTCACTTTATTAATTATTAAGCACAAAAGAACTTACAACGTAGTACATCAGTAAGCTTGAAGCCATCATCTAGGCAACATCTGTCGATACTCCTACCCCCTTGATGCAGTGGTGCCGAATGTCCGAACCTAATACCAAACAGACGTCGCACCAAATCCTAACATCTAATGCCGGATGCCCCATCCTAGCCACATACCAGGACTGGGTCACACGCCGGTCCGGTGCACTCACCGAGGCTGCCGCCGCCTTCTTCCACCGATCCATCTCCAGAGCAGGTACTGACGCACAAACCTTGCCAGGCCTGCCGTCGACGCCACCATGGCGCCAGACAGCTCGACCACCCTGCGCTCGTCCATCCAGCCGCATTCGTCGTTGATATGCAGCTGCACCATGCCGCCACCACTCGTCGTCAATGACGCGGTAGATACAACGCCGCACCACCTGGCAACCTCCACACCATCGCCACTGCTGGAGCTACTCGGATCCCACCATCCACAACATCTCTCCCCCGAACAACAGTTCCTCCCAATCGGCGCCTCCATGAAGGATATGATGCGCAGGACGACGCCGCCACCCAATCCAGACTAAATTTTGGACTTTCGTCCGGGAGGGGTTCGGGGGTGGATAGGGGGGACCTCGGCTTCGCCTCTAGGAAGGGTAACGGCGTCAAGTGACGACGCCGATGCCGGGCCGAACACGCTGACCAAAGTTTCCTCCGGTCCCCATCCTATGCCACCAAACCTCCGTGTACTCCGGATCCGGCAAGCCACGATCCGAAACCCGCGAAGATGAAAGAGCCATGGGGCTCAACCCACCAGAAAGGAGGATCGAGAAGAACTCTTTGTAGATCTTCAGACGCCGAATCCAACGATCCGAGAAGGCCAGCGACGATCATCACCACCCCGCGGCGGCCAACGGAGTCCAAAGAAAGGATTCAGATGGATCCGATCTGGATCCGGCGGCACCCGCGACAACCGGTCAGGCCAACGCAGCCACCACCTCACGACACGCAGGTCGCCACCGCCGCGCCGCGCACGACGCCGACGGGAGACCCGCCCACCGCGCCGCCGAACCCCACGTTCGCCCGGCGTTTCTCTGGATCCCGCTGTCTCGCGCCAGCCAAGACGGAGAGGATGGGGAGAAGCCCCACCGCCGCCCAGCCGGTCAGGCTTCGCCCGGCGGCGCTATGGACGGCAACGAGGAGGGGGAGAGGAGAAGGAGACTCGAGGGGCGGCGGCGAGGGTTTTCCCCCTGGGTCGCCCGCGGGGGCGACGCGAGAGGCGAGGGGCGAGAAGGAGGAGAGGAGGAGACTGGAGGGACGTGGCTGAATGAGTTGTCGGAATCTTTTACCATCTCCTCTGATTGTGATTCGTTGCCTGTACAGTGTACCGCGCCACCTAGCTTGACCAGCGTGTGCCTGAATTTTTCTAAGCATGAGCTGATTCTGACTTTCTTACACCGTGTACAGTTTGTTCGTTACACCCTGGACTGTATCCGCTGTGGTGTATCTCAGTCTCATTTATAATATTCTCTTTGTTTATTTTTATAAAGCCTTGAAGACATTTCAGACAAAATGCAAAGTAGTTTATTTTCAGTTGTCTGAAACACTTATAAAAATGAATTGTGGGAGTAATAAAAATGATTTAAGCCGGCGTAAGCCTACAGCACCGTCAGAAAAAGAAAATCAAAACCCGAGACATGTGAATCCACAAATTGGTTTGGAGTAGAATCATCGATGAAACAAACATTTCAGCAGTTAAATGGTAGGGCCGGGTCCCCTTATCCCGGAAATGACTCCCGGAAATCACGCTCCCCCCTCTCGGGAGGCGATCCCCGGGCGACTGGCCGCCGGTGCGCCTTCGCCACCGCCGGAGCCTTCCACCGCCCTTCCAACCAAGAGAGAGAGAGAGAGCCTATATCCCCATGGCACCGCGATCTCGAGGAGGACCCGCTGGGGCTCCAGGAGATCCGGAAGAGGATGGGAGTAGCGATCCGCTCGCTGGTTATTCGAACGAGGGCAGGAGTGTCATCCTCGGGGGGTTCGGAGAGATTTTGTGAGCCACGATCGAAGGAGATATTGGGGCGTGTACGCGAAGGGATGGAGCGATTCCACAGGTCCATGGAAGGAAACAGATCAAGTTTAGAGGCAGCCAAGGGTGGATTGGATTGGAGCCAAAGGGATCAAGATCTGATCAGCAAATCCCCGGTTGCAGGGAAAGGATTGGGAATAAAGGAGAAGATTGAGAGTGGTCCAGATGTTGATTCAGAGAAAGAAAGGATTTGTGAGGCTTCGCTTCCTACCCCGACCCAGGAATGTGCAGATGGACAGATGGTGATTCTGACGGATCAGGGGGTGTGAAAAAATGGAAGAGGATCTTGTGCCTGAGGAAAGAATTAGAGGGAGCCAGGTGGATGATTTGGGAGGGACCATACGCCTGTTGTTTCAGAAACACATCAAATTCACCCAAACCGGGGATCCTCCATACATGTGTGTAAGGACGGAATCAACCAAAAGGGATCTTATTCCTTGTATGAATCATGGTTGCATGTATATAAAGACCTGCACAATACTGGGAGACTCCACATCACAACCGCAAGAACACCATACACCTACTCTTGAGCACGGGATGGAGAACATCAACGATCGCAAGATGAAGCAGCAGGCCACCGAGAGCAGGCTTGAGGTCGTCTCTTCGAACGGCGGCGAGCGCGGGGGCAGGAGAATGGAGCGAGGCTCCTCCTCGCATGGCGGGCAGGGGGGCAGTGCTCTGCCGGCTCCTCCCCTGGCCCGGCAGCGGCGCCGGCAGCACGACGTGGCACACCAACGATCGAACTCGACCTGACAAGGGCAAGGGCTACCATGAGTACCCGCTGGCTCGCTGTGGGATACTTCTTCTCCATGCTCCCCTTCAGCACGGCAGGCCTGTTTGGTGAACTGAAGAGAAAGTGGGGGCTGCGCGGACGGCTCAGCTACATGCCTCTCCGCAACAATCGCTTCATGCTCGAATTCGAGCGTGAGGGTGATCATCGGCATGTCCTGGAGAACAGCCCTTGGACACACCGTAAGGATGCATTCCTCATTGTTCCCTTTGATGGTCAGGGCAAGGCGTCGGACGTGCCGGTGAACGTCATGCCAATCTGGGCACGCATCTATGATGTACCACCTCTCATGCTCTCGGAGGAGATCGGATGGGCGCTGGGGGGCCTTTTGGGGAAAGTTCTGAGGGTAGATGCTGATAAGTTTGGGAACATTGTCACTGGATTTCTCCGTGTACGGGTAGAACATGATGCAAACACTCATCTCCTGCGTGAGATCAGTCCTAGAGAATTAGGGGTGGAGGAACAGTGGGACCTAGAGGTCAAGTATGAGAGAGCCCCCGATTTTGTATGTACTATGGGCATATAGGACATGGGGAGAGGGACTGCAGGCTGCCGATAGATGATCAAACAGTGCGGTTCACAGGTGCGATGAGAGCATCGCCCTACAAATCAAGCAAGAACAAGGGAGGATTCGTGGTGCCGGATGCGTGCAGTGCCAGACGGTTCCTGCACTTTGGGTCCGAGCTGGATGGGGAGGCATGGACAGCACCGACCAAGTTGGCCTGGGAGAAACTTGGCAGGGACAAGAGGGTGGTGCACGCTCTCTCACAGGAGATGGTAAGGTACAGGGATATTTCTGATGATGTACTTCTTGACCCGGCTGTACAAGCGGCGATCGCGGCGGTGAGCGCGCTCAGAGTGAGTGAAGTCCATGGATAGGACGATGCAAGGAAAACAAGCATCAGCGAGAACACCGCGACGGCCCCGGCACAACCCGCGCTGACCATGGTCTCTACTCCAACCATGGCCTGGGCTGGCGCGAACACTGTACCATCTACAACGCCGGTCACCGGGGCAGGGGGCGACATCGACAAAACCCCGCTCGCTCACACCATTGCGGGCGCAGCAACCCCTCCCTATCCGCCAGGTTTTGGACCGGACACGGTCAAGGCCTCACCTGTCGCTGCTGCTGCTGTCATTCTAGGAGACACGGGGGCGAAAACAGAGAAGGTGCAGGTTTCATATGAAGCAGGCAAGGTGGATGGCTCGTCTGTCCAAGACAAAGAGAAGACGGTCCAGATCAGCGATACTGAGAAGACATAGGATACAGGGTTAAAGGTCAAAGCAAAGAGGTACATTAGTCAGTTCAAGGGAAGGAAAGGACCGGGGGATATGGACTCAGTGCTTGGCAAGAGAGCTACATGCGACATGGCTGCACCAGTTTTGGTCAATCCTAGTGAGTCTGTTGTAATAGGGGACATCTGTAAAAAACAGAGACGTGATGTAGAGGGAAAGGATGAGGGAGAGGCAGGGGTGTTAGGTGGAAAGGAAGCAACCGGTGAAGGGGCTACCGGGGAACTGGCGGGCGCGACAAAGAGCGCCCGTCAGGAGGAATGACGATCCTAAGATGGAACTGCCGGGGCTTGGGCCACCCTGGTACGGTTCGGGAATTGGTGTGCCTAGTGCATACCCATCGCCCCTCTATTGTCTTCATCTCAGAGACACGACAGTGTGAAGAGAGCGTTAAAAGAATAAGAGATAGAATAGGACTCAAGAATTGTATTACCCATGATGGGGTTGGCAAGGGTGTCGGCATCGCCCTCTTTTGGGACGATAGCGTTGAAATAAATCTGCTCTCTTATGG